AGAGACCCAAAGTGCCATCACTGGCCTCTCTAAATGGAGGCTTATGAAGACCAAGTCATAAATTAAGTCCAAGCCTGTATTACATACCATGATTGTGGTAGAGAATGTTCAACTAGAGTGAAATTAGCCAGTTGACTGCCATGTCAGATATGGTATCTACTTAAATAGATAAGCATAGGCTGGTACTTAATATGTAGCCATAAATCTACAAAAGCATGTTTTTCAGCTCAGCAAAAAGGACCAAAAGTTTTAAACATATTTTTGATGTCAGTAGTACATACAATCTTGTCTGAGGTCTAACTTAACTCTGCTTTTTATTAAATTGGTCTGTAGAGACTATGATTGACCTAGCATTCCAAATGCTCAGTGGTAGAGCATTTGCCTTGCATTCCAGGGGCTCTGGGTTCTGTTTCTATGCCAGTACCATTGTATTTTGATTGCTATAGCTTTGTGATATAGTTTGAAGTCAGGACATGTGATGTCTCCTGATTTGTTTTTTTTTTTCAAAATTGCTTTGACTCTTCAGGATCATTTGTGGTTCAAATTTTAGGATTGCTTTTTCTATTTATGTGAAAAATGCTTTTAATACTTGATAGTGATTACACTGAACCTGCATATTATTTTCAGTAAAAAATTTTTTTTAATTCATGAGCATGAGCTGTCTTTCCATTTATTTATGTCTTCTCTTACAATTTTCTTTGTATAAATCTTTCACCTCCCTGGTTAAGTTTATTCCTGAGTATTTTATGTATATTACATATGTATTATGAATGTTAAATAATATTTTCAATGCTATTGTCAGTGGGATTGCTTTCTTTATTTTTTCCAGAGAATTTGTTGTTGTTACATAGAAATCCAAATGATTTTTGTGTATTGATTTTATATTCTGCAACTTTACTAAATTTGTTTATTCATCCTAGCAGGTTGTGTGTGTGTGTAGTATTTAGAGTTTTATATATATAAGATCATATCATATGACAACAGAAACAAATTTACTACTTTGTTTCTGATTTGGATGCATCTTGCAGTATTTCCTTTTCTTTCAATTACTCTGGCTAGGTTTAAGAACTATGTTAAATGGAAGTGAGAATGTGTAGCTTATCTTTTTACTCATCTTAGAAGAAGCTTTACACGTTTTACTGTTGAATATGTTAGCTGTGGTTTGGTTACATTTTACCTTTATTATGTTGAAGTGCATTTCTTCTGTACCTAATTTTCTTCCTTCTATATCATGCATTTTTATCATGAAAGAATGCTAAATCTTATCAAATGGTTTTTTATGTGTGTGCATCTTTTGATATTTTTAGCCTTGATTCTGTTAATGTGGCATATCATGTTTATTCATTTATGTATATAACCATTGTTGCATCCCAGGGATAAGTCTCATGGGATAAAGATCATGATGTATGTTATTGAATTTGGTTTGCTAGTTTGTTTGTTTGTTTGGAGAATTTTTTTTTAATCTATGTTCATTAGGGATATCATGGCCAAGAGGTAAAAGAGAGTAGGAAGAGGCCAGGGTCTCACAGTTTCCTTCTAGAGCAGGCCTCTAGTGATTAAAGACTTCCCACTGGGCCCCCACTTTCTAAAAGCTCCACCACTTTTCAACAGCACCACTATGGGGACCAAACCTTTCAGGATATCAAGATCCAAACTATAGCAGTTACATAAAATATCTTACAGTTGTAACTTTTTACTTTAAGCATATTATTTGATTACATACATTCTGTACTTTTCTCTCTCTTCACATTTATGTTATTCATGCTGTAATTGCATCATTTTTATGTGTACATTCAATAACAAATATAGTTATTTGAA